TGCAAAATATTATATGCCCTAAGCCACGATTTTGTGCCACATATTCCAACCATCTCTTTCCTTCATCCAACCATCACCGTTTTTTCAACCAATTCAGCCCCATATTTTAGTGGGCGTCCCACCATGTCGGAGCCACTATCACTGTTTCTTCGGCTAGCAGCGGCTGCTGATTCTCCAATTCGACATCAATCAACAGCAAGAGGGGCGACAACTGCTCCCTTGCCGTCCAAACATCAAACCACGACCATCCGCTTGAGAACACTACGGACTGGTCAGGATTACATTATCGAGTCAATACTATACCAAAACATTTTGACTCTCACCTTCTTGTTCGCGTTCGTCTTGATCTTCCTCCTGCAAAGTCACCACAGATACGGTGTTGTCGCAGGTGGAAGAAAGCTCCTCAAACGATGATGACGGCCAGCTGCACACGGCGATGGAAGGGGAAAGATGCCGAGCAATGAATATCGGAAATTGTCGAGGCTGGTTGTCGGAGTCACAGAAAATGAGCGCGTGCATGGCCACGATCCCCACCCGAAACCATACAAGCGACATGCAGATCGATATCAGGATGAGCCATATGAACTCAGTGCAGATCACTACGAGACTGAAGCGGATAGTAGGCGGATTTCGATTATGTCCTCTACTGAAAAAGAATGGACGGAGGGACGTATCGTCGCCGTTATAGCATGATGTGTACGGTATGTACCGCTCACACAACGAGAAGATAGTATTCGGGGGAGCACATGGCGGGCATGTTGAAGTTTCTGACCAAGCGCTTAGTTATCGACACTAGTTGAGAGACAGAGTCGCTCAAGGTAGGCATGATGAGGGCCACAGCAAGGCAGAGTAGGCTGGCGAATATCGGAGGTGGGTGCGTTGGCGTTGATTGTAGGGTCCACGAAGAAGAAGAAGTAGAACGAAGGACAAATCTATTACGGAGCCTTCCCACGCACAGCCCTGTCTTCACGCACACAATGCTGACCTATGTGGCTTGAATTCCTTGTTTTGTACCTTTGGTCCTCTGTGAGCGGCGAGTACTGTATGAGATTCGATATCCATAAAGGTGTTCAAGAAATGACTATTAATCTCAGATGCATGTCGTCATGCTGTCGCTACCAGAATCAAAGGCCTATACTGGGAGAAGACTACAAACAGAAAGCGAAGCGTATCATTAAACTTGGAAACCGAGAATAAAAGAACTAAACGAGACAAATATAGGGTATCTTGAAAACACAAGTCGTCGACGAGACAAAATATCTATAGAATGAATACTTTTGACGGAACACAGACCCCTGACGGTTCAAACTAGATCAAAGACCCTCCCTGCTGCTGCTGCCCGCCGAAAGTTTGGCCGGTCTGCTGAGACTGTTGTTGCTGCTGCCCGAACTGACCCAACTGCCCTCCGAATGGAGACCCTCCACCAAAAGCACCAGCGCCCGTCAACTGCGGGTTCAATCCCCCTCCAAACACCCCTTTGCTTCCACTCCCAAGGCTTCCAAACACTCCGCCAGCTCCTGCTCCCCCAGCACCTGCGCCAAACATGGTCGACTGCCGGAATGGATTCGCGCCCGTCATCTGCGGCGAGAGGGTTTGGCCGAATTGGGACTGAGGTTGGTGCAGTTGCGTTTGTTGGGGCTGGGATTGAGAGGGTTGGGCTTGAGGGGAGAATGGCTGGTTCTGGGAGGATAATGGTTGGGATTGAGGCAGACCTGTCGAGCTAGGCTGCAAAAACCCACCATTGGCGCCTCTTGAAAAGCCTGGGAACCCCGTCGCCTGCGCACTCAATCCTCCTCCCGCAGACGGACTATTTGCTCCCTGCCCCGGTGTGCCCGCATTGCTCGGCTCGGGAATAGGCGGCAGACTCTCCATCAACGAGTTGCCGAAACTACTACTCGGCTTGAACGGTTTGATGTTGGAGCCCCCGTACCCCGTCTGCTGAGGCTGCAAGAAGCCGCCAGCGCCGGTAGGCTGAGACGAGAGCGACGTCGCGCCGGTGGGGTTGGAGGAGAGACCGCTGAAAGAGGTGGAAGCGGGTTGGGAAGAGGGAGATGTAGAGCCAGTCGGGTTGCCGGAGAGGGAAGAAAATTGAGAGATGTCGTTGTTGCCGTTCGTCGCAGCACCGTTTGACTTTTCGCCAACCGCAAACTGACTCGCGATAGACGACATTCCATCGCCCTGCCCTTGCCCCTGCTGCTGCTGGCCCTGTCCTTGTCCAAACTGCCCTTGTTGAGTATTCTGCTGCCCCTGCCCGTACCCCATCAACAGCTCATTCATCGTCGGCTTCCTCTCCTGCTGCTGCTGCATACTAGCACTCGGCACTGCCGGGGCCGACCCCGGCGCAGGCGCGAACGGGTTCTTGGACCCTGTCGCTTGTGGCTGGAGCGGTTTGGGCGAGGTAGAAATACCGGGCTGGCCATTAGGTGCGGCAGAGGGTTTGAATGGGGAGCCGCCGGTAGCTTGAGGCGCAAAGGGAGTGGCAGAACTGAAGGCTGGCGTAGACCCAGGACGTTGGATCTGAGCGGAACCGGTGTGATTCTGCCCGAACGGTGAAGCGGGCTGAGAGCCAAACATCATGCTCTGCCTGAACGGGTTTGACCCTGTCGACTGGGGCTGCAAGAAGCCCGTCGGTTGGGATTGGAGCTGAGATTGTTGGGGCTGAGCTTGCGGCTGGATAGAACCTGTTTGCTGGGGCTGCATGAGCCCAAACTCGCCACCTGTCCCTCCCTGCATGCCCATCTGCCCCGGGAAGACGCTCTGTCGGTTCCCAAACGCCATGGCGCCCGTCTGCTGAGGCTGCATGAAGCTCTGCTGTTGCTGCTGGAATTGTTGTTGAGGAAAGCCGGTTTGTTGGGGCTGCATGAAACCGGTTTGTTGAGGAAGCATCATGGTTTGGCGGAAGGGGTTGAATTGAGGTTGGTTGATTGTCATATTGGCGTAGTTCATCCTACCATGGTATGTCAGATTGATCACGACAAAGAATGAATTTAGCGTACTGTTGAGGGACACCGCCAAACATGGTCGGCTGCGAGTCGGCCTGGATACTCTCGAAAAAGTCTTGAATCTTTTGCGATGATCCTGGAGGCGCGGCGGGCTTGACAAGGCTCTCCGCTGGCCTGGGCGCCTCAGCCGGCTTGCTCGACGAAGGCTCGCTCCCAGCTCCCGCTCCCCCAGCCGCACCCGCATTCCCAGTCCCACTGCCCGACCCCACCGGCCTCCCCTCAACCACTCCTAAACTCTTCTTATACTCCAAGCGGTTCTGCTCAAAGTTCGGATCATGTAAGTACTCTTCCAGCGCCTTCACAAGACCCGTTGGGGCGTGTTTCAAGTTGGGCACGGGAACATTGACGATGTGGTTGAGTTTGCGGGCGACTCCGAGATAGTCGACAACGCGGTCGGTCTGCTTGATGAAGGATTTGTAGGTTTCGAAAGAGTCGGTGGCGTCAATCTTGGACATTTCAAAGTAGTGTTCTGTAACCGCATGAGCCTAGAAAGTGAAGATTGGAAGTCGAACTCACCTAGGATGTTACAGACACCTTCGTTGCCAGCCTGGAAGAGCACAAGAAGGTCTTTGACTAATAAGCGGAGAGCAAGTACAGTGTTTTCGTCTCGAAGATCATCGTCATAGAACTACCCTGACATCAGCGTCGCAACTCAATGGAAGCTTCCAAGACTCACTTTGCACTGAACAAGAGCATCTAACAACTTCTGCACCTGTTTAACCTCCCTCAACAGACCCTTCTCGACCGGCAAATGTCTTAATCTCCTCGCTTTGGCTGTGTGAAGCGTCAACGGGTATATCACCTTGGGTAACGAATGAACTCACAAGCAGCCCCCAGTCCGTCACTCCGCCTATTACTCTCCGTTTGCACTCTGACAAGATCGTGTTTCACATCTCGGTATGACCGGATTCGGGCGTCGAGATAGTCGGCGTAAGCGCCTAAGCTAGAGGGAGGAATATAGCCTGCCGAAATATGAGCTTGCGCCACCCCACAAAAGCAGGAGAGCGAAAGGCGACGCACCTTGAAACCCTCGTCCACCGAGACCCCTCAGTCTCAGAACATCATGACGAGCGAGAATCTCCAGCAATCCTTCCGAGGCCCCAGTCCGAATCATTTGATGCAATGTCAAGAGTGCTTTGAACACGACCTGTGGAAAGGATAGCAGCTGCGTCAGCGTGACATTCCGACACAAGGCGAATGATACTCACGACACCGTTGTTGTCCCTCAGACGCACTGCCAGGGCTTGGATGACATCCTCCAGCGTACGGTCGTCGCCATACGTCGCTGCTATCAGCGCACTATACCCCGTTAATATCTATTACACCTCATGTATCTCATTCGAGCATTATAATTCGTGACGTACTCGATATACTGAACACAAACAAATCAGCCCCACCCTAGCAGACGCTCGAGCTTGGACGCACCTTTGCTTTTGGGGGAGCATTCTTTGGTTTACAGGCAAGCTTGACTATCTTCTCGTAGTCGTGGGCGGGCATCTTGGGCGCGTCGGAATTGGTAGAGGATAAAGGCGGCCAAGATGAAAACGAGAGAACGAGATACGTACGACACCGAGGGCCGGCTATGGGCGACGCTTATGTGGGGGGTGGGTATCGCATATCATACGCCCGAGCATCCCTCGACTTGGGTTCAACCTGGCTTCAACTGTTTCTTTCATTGAGGTTGTGGCTAGCCCGAAGCTGTCAATCAGTCTGTGACATCGTTCAAGGTCGCATACAAGTTGATACACGAATTGGTATGGGTGCCGTGATTCAATGCCAGAGGATGACGTTTCCGACAGACAAGTCCCTCAACCTCTATTTCTGTACCCTGAACCGTTTCTTTGAACATTCCGGTATGATTTGAGCCCCTTGAATCTCTGATGGACATACATATCAAGCAGCAGATGGGAAGCAGGCCGTCCATGAGCCTTGATACATAGCGATCATGTTCAACCACGGAATCGTGGGGTCCCAGCAATTTAGGGCCGTAATACGTCATGCTCTGTGGCTAAGTTGGTTACGGCGTCCGACTGTTAAATCCCACACTTTCAACGAATCGGAAGATCGTGAGTTCGAAACTCACCGGAGCAGCTTCTTTTTGTCTTTTTTTCTGGCCATCCTCTCATGCACACTTTACTTATTTTGGTATCTCTGCAAGCACCTGCTTCTGACCTACATTTTGGTACCTTTTTCCCAGCGATATGATATATGTGTCGCCGACAGTGAACGCTTGAACACAAGGGGGTAGGTGGGCGGCCTTGATGTAAACTGGCGCGAAGTGCCATTCTTCCCCCACTTGCTCATTTGTTGACTACTATAGCGCTGCAGGTCCTCCGAAGGAAGACATCAAGGCTCCAGTTTAATACGAGAGCAAGATATACCCTAGTACCCACAGAGTCGGAAGGTGGTACAAAACACAGCCGACAAATCGAAGGGCAGACACTCCCAGTACTGCGCATGTGTAACGGTCGGAATCGTTAAAGAGGCATATAGACGGGCAAGATTTGATATGCATATAAGCTACGCAAAAGGATATCGATTCTAGAGTCTAAAAAAGGGGTGTTTTTGGTGATGACAAGATTGTACGATGATGATTTCTTTTGACCTCCTCCCCCGAGATACCCTTTCAGCTCCTCCATCCGCTTTTTTTTTTCTTTCCACAGCCCCGTCCCCCATCCCCACAGTGTCAAGAGTCAAGCCCTAAAGCTACAACTCACACCGCAGCCAAACTCCAAGCACCCACAACCCTCCTCGCCAACGCCCCCACATTCGCCTCAGCCACCACCACGTCCGCATCCAGCTCCACCCCAAAGGCATACTTGGCAAGGGAGGCGATGCGTTTGGCTTGGGTTTCGGTCATGATTGTGAAATCGTCCGCTTCTGGGTCGGTGTCGGTCTCGTGGCCGGTGTCGGAGTCGGGGTTGGGATCGACAGAGGGGTCTATGCCAGGGTCGCGATTGACGTCGGCATCGGCCAAGTCTAGGATGGAAGGCTGCCGAACCGAAGTCCGGTTGGCGAGAGACGCCAAATGGGCGGCGTGGGGATTATCGGCAGACGCAAGATCGTCCACAGCCCCGTCATCCTCGCCCTTCTCCTTGTTCGCCTTTCCAGCCCTCCCAACCTTCTTCCTCCCTCCAGCCAAACCAGAGACAAGAAGAGGCCCATCGCCCTCGGCCTCGGCGTCGGTGTCGGCGTGGGCTTCAAACTCATCTTCGCCCTGGTTGGGTTTGACGGTATAAGCCAAGGCAGTCTTGTTATTAGCCTCGTCCGAAGAAACTTGGGGTGGGACAGTGGGTACAGCCGCAAGCCTCAGCACAGCCTTGCCCTTGGCCGCCTTCGGCACCAGCCCCTCCTCACCCTCCAACGCCAGACAGACGAGCTTCATCATCGTCTCTCTCACTTCCTTCACCCCCACCTCTTTCTCAACTTGACCCTTCTTCACAGACTTGGGAGAGGCGGAAGAGCGGCGGGGAGAAGCCGGTTCGGAGGGGCGGGCAGCACGAGGTTTGTCGACGTACAGCTCGATGGGGGCGAGACGGGACATGACATTATGCTTGCCATCATGGTGATACCGAATCTCGTACTGTCCCGGCTGCCACGGCAACTGCTGCCCCTTCAACACCACCATCCCAGCATCCGCCTTCTGCCCCTCACTCTCAGGCATGACATGCTCATTTCCCTCCCACTCTTCCTCATAAACACCCACCCACTTGCCGACACTCGAAATTTTAGTGACGACCTCGCTCTTGCAGCTGCCCAATCGGTAGATGCCGATCCAGTCTTTTGAAGAGTGGTTGGAGGGCGCGGTCCATGAGATAGGGATGGGTTGGCCGACGTGGAATGCGGGGTGCGGTGTAGGGGACGAGGAGGAGGTGGAGATTTGGATCGAGTAGGACGACTTGTCGTAGGACGTGAGATCTTTGGGTGTAGCCACGCGACTGAATATTACAATAAGCATATACCAACACCATCAACAAGAAAACAAAAAGGGGACATACGTGATGATCATCCTCTCCCTAGACTGCTGCAACAACCCCCTAGCATCATCAACAACCCCATCCAACATCGGTCTCGCCTGTTCCAAAAACTCTTCTACCCCCCCTCTCACCCGTTCTTCAACCCTTTCAATACCCCTCTCCATCTCAGAGACGACGCGCGATACGCGGGGGTGTTTGGACACGGCTTGGCGGACGGCAGAAGAGTTGGGGAGGGTGGATTTGAGGGTTTTGGTGAGGCCGCCGTCTTTGCGGAGACGGGGGCCGTAGAGCTTCTGCATATGCGGGCTTTCTCACGAGTTAGCAGGGCCCACCAACGTGAGAGGAGCGGACTCACCCCTCCACAAACTCCAAGAACCACCAATGAGTCAAATGACTAACCACCCCCACCACTCCAACCAACCAACTCCCACCCATCAACCAACACCCCAAAAAAGCCGCGCCGCCCATCGACCTTTCGGGGTTATTCAAAAACCTGTATATCCCCGTATACGCCAAATCCGACGGGAGGTAGGACGAATAAAGGAAGAAATCGGAGTAGAACCAGCCGTAGGAGGAGAGGACTTGGTAGGATGAGAGGGCGGACCAGATGTGCAGGGCGATGAGGGAGAGGCCGAGGATGTGCTTGAGGAGGGTGCCAGAGACGGTCCAGTCGGAGGGAAGGTGGTATGTCTTCCAGGCGAGGCCGGCGAACGAGACTGGCCCCTGTCAACTGGGTCCAATAAGAAGGGAGAAGAGGGACATACCGTAGGTCATGACCAAACTGATATTATACCCCACTTGCCAATTCCCAAACGCCTCCTCCGTCGCGCGCTTCACAACACCTTCCTTCCCACCCTTCCCACCCTTTTCTCCAGGCTCCTCGTCATCCCACTCGTCCAGCCTTACATCCGAAGGGTAATGATAATGTTTCAAATAATGCCTCACCATCCACTTGTCTTTGCTCTGCGCCCTCAACAAAAGGCCTAGGCCGAGAGAGTGAAACAGCCGCCAAAAGAGGGCGTGGAGGAAATGCGCAAGGAGTGCGAGGCTGGGAGAGAGAGGGGGGATGAGGGTGATTATAGAGTAGGTCACAAGGAGCACGAGGGCAAAGTCGGTCGCGCTGTCCAACGTTTTGGTTAGTCGGTCCCTAACGAATCTGAGGGGGAGGGAGGCTTACCGGAACAAGTCGAGGTTGGAAAAGAGCACAACGGGTTTCCGGAAGAACCGATGCGTAAGATCGTGCATTGTCATCTTGTTTCTCTTGCTAAAGCTCTTTCTGCTCTTCCCAGCAGGCGCGGGAGTGGCAGCGCCCGACCCGATCACCGATACTGGCTGTTTCAGTTCCCGGGGCATAGCTGTAGGCGAGCTAGCAGTCAGGATAGACGACTCTGAAAAACCACTATCCGCCCGAGCCCTAGCGATCTTGACCCCAGTCTTGTTGGGAGACGACCCAGGACTGACCTCGGCGAGCTCTGGTTCAGTCTCCGTCTCGCCCTCGGTAGCAGACGGTGTCGGCGCGCCCGTCTCGCCGGGCGTCTTGTCCAACTCCTTTTGTACAACTTCATCTTGCCAGTTGACAGGAACTCGTGAAGCGAGAGGTTTCTTGCCGCCGCCGTAGGTACGTTCGATATCTAAAATAGTTCACCCGAAAGAGACCAGAAAGGGGGGGGCGTTAGTATGAGGCACGGAAGGCGGGGGGTGGGGGTGGGGGTGGACGTACGGGGGTTTTCGAACCAGAGGAGGAAGGCGAATTGGGCTGCGTGAGCGGCGATGGAGACGAAGAGGACGGTATACGAGCCGACGACTGCACAAAGTCAGCTTCTGCACGAGAAAAAAAAAAAAAAGGGATGGAGGACGGACCCAGAGACAATCCATAATACCCAGCATACCCCACCGAATACATCGGATGCGGCGCAATCTCATACACCCCATCAAACACCAGATCATGCTGCATGACCATCATCCAGAACGCGTCCCCCCAGTACCAGGCGTAATCTTTGACGACCCTGTGGGCGTCAATCTTGACCCAGAGATTAAAGAGGATCAGGGATAGGCCGAGGGTCCAGCGGAGGATGTGCATGGGGATCGAGTGGTTGGACGGGATGTGGAGGTTGGACCAGGCAAAGCAGGTGTAGGAGACAAAGTCGCTACATCACAGGTCAGTGTCATGGACGGGGATATGAAAATGGGGCGTACTTGAGAAGGACGACGTCGACGAGCTGGCGGAACATGAGCCAAGCGTTAAACTCTTGCGGCACTGCTCCCCATGCATATCCCTCATTCATCTTCATCTCGAGCTCGCGCTTCCACCACCGCGCCCACGCACGGCCCTCTTGCCCGCCCTGCTCCGAATCGACATCGAGCCAGCCCCAATTACGCAAAAGCTTGACAACCCATTTCTTCTCCGACTGCTTCCTGAGGACCCAGGCGAAACCCCAGTCATAGCAGCCGCGCCAAAAGGCAAAGTAGAGCAAAAAGAAGAGAGAGCGGGTGGTGTGGTGGTTGCGCAAGAGGTAAAAAAGCAGGGGCTGGGCGAGGAGGGAGAAGAGAGTGAGGCGGGTGAGGGAGGAGCAGTGGGTGGTGGTGAGGAGGGTGTGGAGGAAGGAGTGGGTTTCCGGGACTCTGAATACGTTGCCAGAGGCTGTTTTGCCCCAGGTAACTTGGTCGGATGGCTTGTCGCGCGAGGCGTCGGGGGTGTCGATGGGGCCGTTTGGGGGCGGAGCGGTGGGGGGCTTCCTGTGGCGGACGCCCTCTGAGTGATTTTCCATCTCTGTTCGGGTGGTGATGCAGAGGAGAAAGGTATGCATGGCGATAACCGTAAACGCTGCTGCAAACGACGGGGGCCCGGCGAGCGCCACGTGGCAGAAGCGAACGCCTCATCATCTCGACCATCGTCTATATCGTCTACATGGCTATACGGCACAAATGGGTTGTGAACACGATCAGCCCTAGGGTGATCAATACATGCGTGTGTACGATACGCTCGTTATATGTAGGATATAAACAAACATTCTCTTGATATGCAGCAGTACTGCTCGTACTCTACAGTAGTCGTTAATCGTCCTCAATGATATGTACAAAGCCGCCAGAGACTATTCTCCATACTCAGTGGAC